ATCATGCTTTTTACAAATTACTTTACCTCTCTCAGAATCTAAAGTGTGATCGGTTAAAATCGAAGAATAAAACAGAAAGAAGTGACGAAATCGATAGACTGGATTAAGAGACTAAACTGACCGACAGAACTGAACTGATTGACCAGACAGGCGACGACCGACTAAGCGACGGACCTAGTAAACTACCAAGTGAAAGACCAAGTAAAGGAGAAAGAAGACGAAAAGGATAAGAACACAGAGAGAGGAAGTGAAGAAAGAAGTGAAGACAATTCTTTTCCTGGTTTGTTGTGAGTCGAGCACTTGGTATACCCCCGTTAGGTACCCAACTGTTTTGTAACTGAAATAGTCCAATTTCCTATATCGAATTTAATAATTTTGTTTTTTCGATAATAAACTAACTTTGTTATTTGTATTTGACTTTGCATTCATTTTCCTGAGAGTCTCGTTACTGGACTTCGGAGTGACTCTTACTCTCGCGCCTTAAGTATTTGATGTTTTTTTTTTCTTGTCTAAATCGGAAGTGTGTCCTTTTAATCCACAGAATTTTTTTAGTAGACGAAATTACAACATTTTGGTTAGAAAATTACGGTATTATTTTAAGAATTAGATCGCAAATGTATTTCGGGTTGGATTATGTTTTCAACCCCTCTTCAGTGCTGTTAAAAAATATACAGATTGTAATAAAGGACACGACATTATTCAAATATTACGTAAAAAGATTTCTACAATACAAAATTACGGCTCATTCAATGGTACTGTATAGTACATATTAAAAAGCTATTTCTATGTATATATTTTTAAATTTTCCATAGGCGTATAATAGCTACGTTTTTGTGAGTTTTTTGTTTAATTACAGCATCCAGAGCTTTTGCTATATTCTGAGGAGTCTTGTTCAGAATATTTTTTGTACCAGTTGTTCAGACACAGGAAGAATAAAGTACCGATCATTCAGAGGCGCATTTTCAAAAACTTTTCTCTAGCTGTCACGGTAGCCAACAACTGTACAATATCTACATGAATCTGGGTTTATAAGGCATGTCGCCTATTATAAAGTAAAAATTTCAGACCTGCACTATCAACGAGCAGTATCTTAATAGTTGCCACGACATACGAATTTAAAAAAGACGTTCTGCAAACTTGTAAATATATTAATAAAAATTATATTTATCTTTTAATTGTACACGAAAACAGTGTTAATATATTTAAATTTATAAGAGTAAGTTCAGTAAATCTATCATAATTCTTTATTTTCTCAATTTTTTTATCTCTACAACAAGGAAAATACTTTAAACTGCTATAGAGAAAGAAACGTTTGGACACCGAAAAAGAATTTAAATTGCAAAATAAGGTTTAAGTATTAATATGTCGTGTATTTATCCACTAAAGTTTTTTTTTGTAAATTTATACTATTAATACATTTGAAAATTTCAATATAAATGTGTATGTAAGATTAATAAAATATAATGCTTATTCACAATTAGGTGACTAACTTCGTTTAGTAAATTCATGTGAGATCAGCCTGGACGTAACCAGATGTACGCCTCTTACAGGCACTAGTCGGTAAAACTAGTTCTCTACGATGCAGATCACTAGATCTGATCTCAAATATTTCATAGAAGAGCGATAATCGCTAGGAGATCTGAACTGTGAAGTCCAGATGCTCCTCAGGGCTGACACCAGTTTGTCAATTATGTTCCGCGGACAAACACGCGAGTGAGATCCGATTCGAAATCAAATTAAGAGACATCTTAATTAAAAACGAAATAATAAATTTAATAAAACAAAGGAAATAAACTCATACAAAAATCTTAATGAACGAGAGATAGAACCACTACAAATAATATACAAATCGAGAGATATCTAAGATTATATTATACCCTATTCGCGATCGAGAGAGAGAGCTCACAAAATCGTTATAAAACATACAACCTGTTCTAGTTGTCGTTCGTCTTCTTCTCTGTATGCAAGGGACACTTTGGAGATAAAGTTCATTTATTTCTTCGTATGGGAGATCAATATGTGCACAAAATCCAAGTATGGTTTCTAAGTGCTAACTCTGGAATTATTCTGTATGTGACTCGTCTAAGGACGTTGGTCATCAGGAGGAAAATGTGTGGAGTTTTGGACGCTTCCAGAACTGTCGCTGAACCCCTCCAATTCTGACAAATTCCCTGTATATCTTCTGAATTTCGACCAATCATCGGCCAGTAACTCTTTCATGAGAACGGATGAAAGGGGAATGAATGAGGGGTAACCATTTCCCATCTGAGCAGGATTTTAACCAGATAAGGGAAAGTCAGAGGATGTTCTAACTTCTGTGAAAGGAAAATAACATCTGTGGTCTGCAATTTTCCTACATTAAAACAGTACTTTTCTCACCAAAAATGAAGTAATATTTGGTGACAATATTTAACATAATTAATAAATTATTAATTTAGACTCAGGGGCCTTTCGGGTCTCACATTCATTAGGAATGTAAACTAGCAATAAAACGGTAGTTGCCTTTCTCAGTTCTTAAACCCCAAATACCTGTCATTTTTTAACTTATATATCTTTATAGAAGTTTTGTTAATAACAATCGTTTCATTTTTTAGAATTAATAAATAATTCACAGGTTCTAACTATATCATGCACATATAGGGGAGATCGGGGCAACTTCGGCATGCGGGGCAAGTTTGTCAAGCGCTTTTTTTAAAAAACATATTAAAAGGAGACTTTGGTTATAGGTTAGGCAGTTGAGTTTTATTGGTGGCTTGTTGAGTGTAGTGTTTTTATTGTTCTCCAACAAGCGTAGTTGAATTATCAAGCAAATTTTCATTTTCGTTGAATTCCATATAATATTTTTTTTCCATTTATATTGAATTGGCAGGTTTTGTTATAATTCCATGATAACGAAAGTTACTTTTCCTGTTAGAAGGATGTAACTTCAACTTATTCACGTGGCCAGATCGTGGCTTGGCATTCTGTTCTCAGGGTTGTACTTAATGTTTCGAAATCATGACTAGCGGGGTAAGATCGGCAACATAAAGCCACATTAGAAGCAAAGGATAAATATCAAACAGATGATAAATGAAAACATGTTTGCATTTGTTATTCATGTATATATGTCTTTGAACTTGCATTTCGTTGTAATAATATGAAATGGGTGTTGGATTTGTATTTCTTTGTTTTAATAGTGAATTCCAACTTATACATTGTTAATAACATAATTTTATATACGTGCCTATCTTGCCCCATTACTGTTGCCCCTATACCAGGGGTAACTTTAATAAAAATAATTAAAATAATTACAACTTTACAAAAAGAGAGAAGTTGCCGATCTTGCCCCAATACCCGGGGCAACTTCGTCAATTTCTCTCTTCTTGTAAAGTTGTAATTATTTTAATTATTTTTATTTCCAAACTGATTTTAACCAGTTCTATAGTAAGAAAACATTCCAATAGACAATATGCAAAGCTTTTTTTTCAGTTTACAGCAGTATTTATTACACAAAATTTAAGTAAAGCTTAACATGCCGATCTTGCCCCGATCTCCCCTATAAAACAGATTTTCACGAATTAAAAATTAATTATATTAGTAAATTATCGAACACCTGATGTAAGAAAAGGTGCGGGTTAAGAATTATTGCGTTTTAATTTTTCTTTTATGTAGAACTTTTATGCGAAAGGTAGTACCTTTGCATCCCTAGCATTAATACAACCATCTTTTAATTTACTTTTATATATTTCGTGCATTTGCCAATGATGGAGAACGAATAGTCGCTTCGTTCCGTTAACCACAGAGTCTTCTGTTTGTGCCATACTGGATAATATTGTGTTGCAGTGCCCTTTGGTAATATCGTATTTGTGATCGTTAAGTCTGGTAGCCAAATTCCTTCTTGTTACCCCAACATAGTTTTTCTTAATTCAAAATTCCTGTTTTTCAACGAAATTTCACGAGATATGCTAATGATGCAAAAACAATGAAGAATAGAGAAAGAGATATAATTTAATCGGTCATTATACTGCACGAAAACTCACATTAATGCAGTTAAAGATAAATTTTAAGTTAACAATAGTAATGGAAAGAAAGCAACAGGATAACGAAGCAAATGTTATCTCAAAGATGTCAATGCTTCTGTGGGATTTCGAAATTATTTATGGGGTTTGATAAAGACGAGAAAAATTAGTCCATGTTGTGAGAGGTAAAGAAAATATGAAGGACGAAGACAATCTTGAAAAAGGATAAAATCGTTTGGGTGGGAATCTTCTACGTATGAAGAATCCAGGAAAATTTGGCATACACGAAAAATTTATTATAAATTAAATAAAACTCTAATGGAAAGAAAGCACTTGTTTCAGCGACAAGAAATAGCTTTAGTAATAGGTAAAGAAAAAAAACGATAATTTTCATGTAAATTTCGCGATACTTTTCTATTTGCTAATTATAAAAGTTGTAAAGAATTGACAAAAATTTATCGCAGCCGAGTTTGAAAATTCTGAACCTCGCGTTAATAGAAGTATTAACCGAAATTCTAATAGAAAAAAGTCACATTAAACATCTAACGTCATCTGTTAGACAACGCGTGTATCACTAAAAACATTACAATCGGCCTTAAACATTATGACGAAATGAAATATGACGTATTAGTGCAATTTTTAAAAGTACACAATAAGAAGCAAGGTTGCATGCTAATAATTTTATTTTCTTAAATTCATATTACATTGTTTAAATTTAGAATAATGATGAAATCGATTTCAAATTAGATTACGTATTGAATATTATGTATTAATTATCAGAATATTACTTATATCATTCGTTGATTATATCTTCCGCTTTAGGCCTAATGCTAAGCAGAAATCTGGAACGTCTGGAGTGGTTAGTCCAAACGAATCATCTAATAAAGTATCTAAAATTCCTAAAACAACCTCTATGTCATATTCAAGAAATCGAAATAAATCGTCACAGTCTATGTCGTTACTAAAAAGTAAACGAAGATACATATCGAGACAATACAGAAGTTGCCTAACACATCCGTCAATGTAATCCAAGCAATCCAAGTTACGAAGCTGTTCGAGGATGCAACCCAAGTAACTCGTAATATTATTAAGTGCCGGACAGAGCTCGTTCATCGATTGCAATGGGTCACTCGGATCCGTACCACAATTATCGCATCTGTCCTTGCGACCAAATCTGTCTTGGATATCGCCTCTTAAATCGATGTCACCAAGTTGGCATTGGTCCAAATTTATCATAAGCTGAGAAAAGAAAAAAAAAGGATTATTTTTATAACGTTCGACTAATTTTGTTAAATTTCAATTTGTTAATTTTTTTTATAAAGAAAACATTTGAAATTGCGTTATAAATAGAATAACATTTCTATTAATTCTAATAAAACTTAATGCTGAGATGTAGAATTAATTAAAGTATTATAAAATTGAATTAATACGAAGAAATAAAATCAGATATAAAACTTAAATATTTAAATATCAACTGAATTTATAACCTTTCATTATTATTGCGGGTAATAAAATAAATATTTGCAACAAAGAAAAATGATAATAATTTGAAATTTTATTAAAATAAAAAAATATGTAAAACTTACCTTGTTGAAGGTACAATTTATATATCCAAAAATGTCCAAGTTCAAATTGTTTAGTATCCCAATAAGTGTGACTAAATTGGAGTTAGTTGGAGGCATTACAGGTATTCCAATTAGTCGATTTGAATCCTTTTTTAAATTGTATTTGTCCTTCACATTTTTTTTCACCTCTCACATTGTCGACAGACCCTTTCTTGCCTTTATCAAATGAAACATCTTTCTTTACTTCTTTCTTAGATGCTTCGCTGTTTGCTACGATTGCAATTCCTAACAAAATAAAGAATCTTTCATTAATTCCAATTTATGTTTAGTCAAGTTAATTAGACCCAATATTGATTAAAGATATAAGTTTAAGCATTGAAAATTAAACATTAAATCATATTTTAAATCGAGTTTATTTAACAATAGAGCGGTGCCGATCATACACCGTACAGGGGAGTGATTGAATTGAAATAAAATGACTTCCAATCTTCATGAGACGTTCGAATATAGTTAATCGAGACCTGCACTTCCCTTTTTTGTTAATCCAGTCTCACCTTTCATATAGGGCCTACATAAAAAGGTTTTCACGAGTAAAGTGAGACGGACGAACGGACGAACGACAGTAAAAATTTATAGGTCTACAATTTTTTAAATTGCAGTCCAATTGGAAATTTAAAGATTACAGAAAATATTTAATTTACCAACGAAAACCAGTAGAAAGAGGATGGTTTTCATGTTGCTTTCGGTTTGTTTATCGCCGAAATATGCTTTAATGGCAGTCTTCCATGCCTTTTTATAGGAAAATTTTGCGTAGGATTGAGTGAATTCAGCGCTATTTCTCCTCCCACCTGTCAATCCGAAATTTTGACATTGCAGATGGTATTTTGAATTTCGAATCCAATGAAATTACTTCATTTAATTTACGTAGATTTTGCTTGTCCTTTTTTGTTTCATTTCGTATTCGGTCGTTACGCTTTACGGATCTGCACGAAAATATCCTTTAAATTGGCGATCAGAATTATCACAAGTTAGTTTAATTACCATTATAATTATTTTAATATTTCACTAATGCAAAATGGGAGAGAATTAGATTCGTTGTTAAAGCAATGGAGCGTATTTTTTATATAATAAAGGCTTATATTAAATATTTANTTGTACATGTGTTTATCGTGTGTTACAGTGTGGTATATAATAAAGGGTACTACAAAAGGGGTGTCTGTAGATAAAAAAAACTATCAAGTTTGGAATGATACTACTAGAAACAGGTTAAAAACACTGACTTATTTTATCACTTCTTTTCATAACACACTACACGTAATATTGTTCGAATTTCGGACCCATTTTTAGGAACGTTTTCATTCGAAAATACCAGAAATATCGTAATTATATATAAATAAATTTAGGTAATAATTCATTAATTGATTGTTATTTTGAACATAGTAGAAACAATTGTTAACAACTTTAAATGTGTTAATTAAAGTTAACTATATTAAATTAAGTTAATTAATTAGATAAACGTTGACACTATTTGAAGCCATGTCCAAATTACTATCTCGAAGTTTAACTGTTGATAATTTTTTTAGAACACCGAAGTTACATTTCAAATAGTAAATTTTCGAAAATATTTCTTTGCTATTATTGCATGAGTATTTGATCAAGAAAAATCATTTTAAAAAATGTAATTTTTATTATTAAGATTACGATAAACACATTAAAATCTCTTATAAAATTTGTTATTTTATGCAAAGTTTTAATGAGATAGATATTATAATATTCTTATTGAAACTTTTTAAATAATTATTTAGTATAAAATATGTTTGTAATTTAATTAAATATCCTCTCTTGGTTCTTCATTCGTTATACTATAATTAAAATGGAAAGTTTAATTAGAGACGACTACGTCTACATCACTCATTTATTTCGTGAAAGCAGAATAAATGGACATGTAACATGAAGATAAAACACTTTCCATTAACAGTTTTGTTCAGGTATTGTTATTTGTATTTGATTTTATATAACTTTTTATTGTATATACATACAGTACGTTCGTAACGTTGTAATACGTACTGTACATACTTCGGACAATGAAAGATTTCAACCCGTATCCAGTTATTAGTATAAAAGAAGTGGCAACAAATACCTCTTTGAAAATCATTCTTGCTGAATTTTCTCTAGTTTGTAACGTGCAAGAATTAAACTGATTATTGTTAACAATATTTTTACGTAATAATAATTGCCTTTTATGTAATTAGTATAGGCCTACATATTACGAAATAACTTAAACGTACTTTAAAGCTTTAATTGGTCTTGCTTTTTCGAGAGATTGGTCATTATGGATGATACCCCTATGATATACTAAAGTGCGTTTACACACACAAATCATGATTAAATTCTTCATTTGGTTATGTTTATCAGGTTTCAGAGGCGGAAAAGATAGTGAATTTTAAAAATGTCGGGAGATAAGCACCACTACCTATTCCCAGAAGAGAATTTAAGGCTTTGGGGGCCCTTCTCATCAGTGCCTGCTTATACAGTAAACAGGTGAGGCACTTTAAAGTGTAAAACGTCATCATACCGACCAACGTAGAGGTGACGATGTTATACAAAGCAATTAAGTTATTAACGACACGAAAATTATTTTTTCTGGTAAAAATTTAATAAAGCACACTTTAGAGATTTATCAGTAATTTTTTATACTAATTAAAACTTGATTGCTTTATTATATTCACATCAGTTAAATTCGACAACTAACACTTATATTTATTACATACCTAAATTGAAAACAATCACTTTATTAATTAATTATGTGATAGAGATGGAAGGAGCGCTTGCAGTTATGGTGTACTTTATTCTCTCACTATGACATTGTCTCTTTCACTTTTGACCTTTTGACAAAATACATTAAGTTCACAACTATGCTTGTGAACATCACGAAAAAGAAAAGACAATAAAAGTAAAGAAGTGAGGATTCAAACCACAGAATGTCGTCGTTATTGTTATTAATTAACAATAAATATTTATATTATAAATAAACCTAATAATTCTTTATAATAATAGTATATTGAATAAGAAAACAGCACAGAATATACTTACTTCTCGACTCTTCATTCTTTTTTAATGTATATTTTAATATTTCTAATCTCCTTTCTATATGGTCCTTTCCAATGTCCTTTCTATATGGTATAACTTATAAGTTGTAAGTTTCGGGATAGCTGGAGAATTTGGTATGCATTTTTGGCTAATATGTTTCTAAATAATTACAAGCAGACCATGCAGTTCTCGTTCTCTGCTTGTATTTTCTGCATAATTCCTCAAACTTTCTTTTAATACTTGCCACCAGTCACTAAGTAGAGAAAACCAATAAGCAATGGCAGTTAGCAGTAGTATGTACAGTACCTGATCGATGAAAGGCCATGTAATAATTTTTGGATATTCTTCACGTGCATAGTACCCAAATAGAAATTTCTCTGCTAGAGGGAACCGCTTGGAAAACTTTCGAAGTGTTGAATTATCATATTACAGCGATTTTCAACTCTGGTGCTACAAAATATAGTGATTTGCAAAATCATAACGCTTTTTACGTATATCACTAAAAGTTATTGTATATTTAAATGTAATTAAATTTATAAGTTACATAATGTTATTTTAGTAACTATACTTTGTACAATTTAAACTAATTGTCTTGTACATGTGTTTATCGTGTGTTACAGTGTGGTATATAATAAAGGGTACTACAAAAGGGGTGTCTGTAGATAAAAAAAACTATCAAGTTTGGAATGATACTACTAGAAACAGGTTAAAAACACTGACTTATTTTATCACTTCTTTTCATAACACACTACACGTACTATTGTTCGAATTTCGGACCCATTTTTAGGAACGTTTTCATTCGAAAATACCAGAAATATCGTAATTATATATAAATAAATTTAGGTAATAATTCATTAATTGATTGTTATTTTGAACATAGTAGAAACAATTGTTAACAACTTTAAATGTGTTAATTAAAGTTAACTATATTAAATTAAGTTAATTAATTAGATAAACGTTGACACTATTTGAAGCCATGTCCAAATTACTATCTCGAAGTTTAACTGTTGATAATTTTTTTAGAACACCGAAGTTATATTTCAAATAGTAAATTTTCGAAAATATTTCTTTGCTATTATTGCATGAGTATTTGATCAAGAAAAATCATTTTAAAAAATGTAATTTTTATTATTAAGATTACGATAAACACATTAAAATCTCTTATAAAATTTGTTATTTTATGCAAAGTTTTAATGAGATAGATATTATAATATTCTTATTGAAACTTTTTAAATAATTATTTAGTATAAAATATGTTTGTAATTTAATTAAATATCCTCTCTTGGTTCTTCATTCGTTATACTATAATTAAAATGGAAAGTTTAATTAGAGACGACTACGTCTACATCACTCATTTATTTCGTGAAAGCAGAATAAATGGACATGTAACATGAAGATAAAACACTTTCCATTAACAGTTTTGTTCAGGTATTGTTATTTGTATTTGATTTTATATAACTTTTTATTGTATATACATACAGTACGTTCGTAACGTTGTAATACGTACTGTACATACTTCGGACAATGAAAGATTTCAACCCGTATCCAGTTATTAGTATAAAAGAAGTGGCAACAAATACCTCTTTGAAAATCATTCTTGCTGAATTTTCTCTAGTTTGTAACGTGCAAGAATTAAACTGATTATTGTTAACAATATTTTTACGTAATAATAATTGCCTTTTATGTAATTAGTATAGGCCTACATATTAGGAAATAACTTAAACGTACTTTAAAGCTTTAATTGGTCTTGCTTTTTCGAGAGATTGGTCATTATGGATGATACCCCTATGATATACTAAAGTGCGTTTACACACACAAATCATGATTAAATTCTTCATTTGGTTATGTTTATCAGGTTTCAGAGGCGGAAAAGATAGTGAATTTTAAAAATGTCGGGAGATAAGCACCACTACCTATTCCCAGAAGAGAATTTAAGGCTTTGGGGGCCCTTCTCATCAGTGCCTGCTTATACAGTAAACAGGTGAGGCACATGCCTTGGGACCCAGAAATTCGAAGGAATAAATTTTACCGTTGTGACTGTATATCTTAATTTATAAATAATTCTATACTGCAATTAGATGTTATTAGTTTACCATGCGGTAAAATGCCCAATCTTTTGTGCTAGGGAACCGCCAGGTCTTAATTTGCCACTGCTTCTCACTGACAATAGTGGTACCCTTTTATAAAAAAAATTAGATTGTTTTAAAGGGCCTTCTCACTTGTGAAGTGAGAAGGCCCTTAAATCCGCAACTTCCTGATCGACCTAAACTTAAATCCGCAACTTCCTGATCGACCTAAACAAAAACCTACTTTAGTGAAAATGAAATGTAGTGATATATTTAGTTTTATAGTTTTATTTCATTACTGCAAGGCGACACGAGGGGTGATGCCTTTTCAGAGGTCTTTTATGGGAAACTGGCCCCTATTTAGTTGTTAATAATGTGAAGAAAACCCGGAAAACTCCAAGTGACCAGTCCGTTGGTGAGGCGCGAACTCACATCCAACTACCAGTGTTCAGTGGTTTCATTTGAGTATTAGATTTAGTATGGGGAAATTTGGGGGGATTTGTGTCGTATCTATTCACTAATATCTTTTTGAATAATGTTATCTTTCCGAAAAAATGTCAAAACTCATAAAAATGAAGAAATCCAAAAAACAATGAGGACCAAAGTTCGATCGTTACGATCGTTTTCAGAAAGATCAAAGATTAAAATCACTAATTTTATGTTCTTCACCTTTGACCCCACTTTTATAACTTTGATTTTCCCTTATTTTTGGCTCTTTCCCTGTTGGACAGAAGTCGTTTTTCAAGCCCATTTTAAGTTCGGCCAGGCCCACTCTTAAATTACTATTTAGCATTTAAATGTTTGTAATTTTTCAATTGCTTTATTTTATTTTACTTTTTGTAAAAGAATCAATTATTTATAATAAAACATTATTATGTTTAGAAAGTGTTATTCGGCCGGTATACATTTCTTCACAATTGTCTCTAGTGTAATCCATAAGGACGAGAATTATGGAGAAAGTAAAGGAAAATTCTAAGTAATTTTTCTTGTATTCTTATAAAAAAATATATTTTTCTAAATAAGTATTGTGTGTGGGAAAACGTACTTTTATATTAGACGTGCATAAACACATGCTCTTCATTGATAACTGGACACAATACATCAGGATCATTAGATGAATAACAATGTCTTGAATGACTTGCAAATTTTTATTACTGTAACATACATACAAAAAGAAAAAAGAAACAAATATTAAATAAAAGGATTTCCTGTTGTTATACAAGGAAATTTTAAAACACGATACGAGAAAAAAGGTGAGAATTCCGTGAAAATATTTGGGTGTGTACAGTAGATCATAAGTTAACTTTTAACGTACTGTACGTGCAGCATAACTACTGTGTATATACAGTATATTTATATATTTTCTGTAATAAACTGTAACACGTCACGTAAAAGAATCGTTTCTATACAGGAATTTAATCTTTACACTGTTGACTGATTTGAACCATCTTGTGTATTCAGAGGATAATTTATCTTTGGGAGATATTCAATCTTTACAATGGCTTAACTGACTTTTGGGTTTCTTCGTTAGTTAAAAACAATGAATTAATAATTGTTCCGATTATTATTTTACGATAATAGTACAGGGATAAGTGTCATAGAATCGTTCATCTTATTTTTCTTTTATTCGAGCATTAGCTCGATGATGATCGTTTTCTCAATCTTAGGTAATCTAGGGGAAAACGAAGGTGCTGTCAGGGTAGTTCCATACTGCGTATCTTAGTTATTCTTTGTATAGATCTTGTATTAAAAGTAGAATAAAAGTAGAGCATTTTATTATTGCATAAATACACTGTATATTCTTTTCCTACTACTTGTTCTATTTTTGTCAGTCATAAATATTATACCTATATATAGATTTATTAATTATAAAAAACATACAGTACTTATGTATAGATTAATACTTTCCGGCAACATTATACTTTTTAAAATATTTTCCTATTTAAAATATCAGGGAGTAAGTGAGATCTTCTTTATCTGAAAAAATTCTTTTTAGTACGTCACTAAAACTTCTATTGAATTGAAGTGAATCAAGTCTATGATTAGATACGTACAGTACGTGAAAAGGGAGAGTTTGTTGGCTGCTGTTAACAATGAACTGAGAAGTTAGTAATTTGTAAAACCTTGTCGTAACTTCCTTATCTTTAGTAACAACTGGCAAAAGTGTTATTAAAATATTTCACACTTGATTTATTATAGGTAAGATAAAATAGTGTTATAATTATTCTGACAATGAATGAATGAATTAATTAATTAACATGAATAACGCTCTGTAATGATTTATTTTGTGCGTTTTTTGTTGAAATAATCATCCAAAGTACTGTACTCGAGTACGCTGATCAGTTGATATAATGTGCTTTCATTTCGGGTCGTTGCTCTCAGAACTAGTGTACGTGTATCGTAGGGTTATTTATATACGTAAACACGGGAACTGCTTTTGTGTTCGTTTAATAAAATCAAATCACTGATTGGGCTGCAATTTTCAGTAGTGTTGTCTCGTTAGCATCCCGCATCATAATTATAGAATAATACAAAATATATACATAAATAAAATTGTTTTAAGTTGGTCTAAAGATATAACACCAAACTACACAACAAAGAACCTTGAAACGCCTAGCTGTACAATGCTATCAATTCCGTTTTATCTGTGGTATGATATTCAGAACTTCACAAAAATAATATATATGATAGAAATATATTGTAAATCGAATTTAAAGACCTCAAAAGATTAAAAATACATGAGTAAATTACTAAGAAATGCGAAAATAAAGGATTTAGTGAAGGATAAATGTAATGCATCTTTCCTTCAAAAATAAAAATAATAAGAATAAAAAGTAAGTTAATTTGGAATATTCGAATATAGTCTGTAACTGCATGATTCAAGGAGCTCGAAGGATAATCAAATATAATTCTATTAGTTTAATAAACTTTAATTTAAAAAATTGCAAGAATATTAAAGAACTTTTGCTATATTGACTTAATCAAATGCTTATAATGAGAGTTTGGTGTAAAGAAATTTCTTTGTTACTCACATAGTTCTTTAATTTCATACGAAACCAGTGTTTTAAGTAAATACTGTTTTAAAATACAGCCGCTGTATTGCTGCGGTTGGTGTTCCTCGAATGTACGCTGAGTACCTACATCTATTAGCTAGGCATAGACGTAATTACGGAAGCATTCGTTCGTTTAACGTTCGTTTGTGTGTTTTGAAATGACTCAGACAATTGAAAATTCCTCCGATTGTGAAGTACGCGCGGTGATTCGTTTTCTTAATGCAAAAGACATGAAAGCTGCTATTATTCATCGGAATATTAGTGAGGTGTATGGAAAAAATGATGAAATGGTAAGAAAATGGGTTAGAACATATTAAAATGGCCGTCTAATGTCCATGACAAGTAGCGTAGTGGGCGACCGTCTGTCATTACTGAAGTTTGGTGCAGAAAGTTGATTTAAGTTCGAGAAAACAGAGGATTTTGTCATCTAAAAGAAAAGTGGTGGCAAGCTCAGTAAAAATGGTTTTTCTTCTTTACAATGCCCGTCCACCGTGGCTCAACGAACCCGAGACATTATCATATGACTGGGAACAAATTGATCACCCGCCGTCTAGCTCTTAGTGATTACCGCTTGATTCTCCACTTGAAAAAAATCTAGGCCATTAGCGCTACGACGACGATGTCAAAACGGCTATGCTGCAGTGGTTGGCAAATCATGCGGCAGGTTTCTTTGAGGATAGAATTCAGAAGCTGGTTATATGATATAATAAGTGCCGTAATATTAAAGGAAAGTATACTGAAAAGTAGATTAAAGTATAGACTTTCTTGTAAGAAAAAAATTGCTTAAAAATTTGCATTTGTGTTTTTTTAAATATAAAAACCGTACTTACTTAAAAAAAACACGCTTCGAAATACTGTGTCATAATATTAATAATTGTTCTTTTTACTAATAGAGCTACATAATTTGTATTATAAGTATGAAACTTCGCACACCCGACAAAGGTTGGGCATGGATATTTTTGGCAGCTTCATTTTTCTGCTCTGTTTTTGTAATTGGAATGATAATGGGAACATCTGGAGTTTTATTTTTTGCTATTACAACAAAATTCCAAATGTTACGTCAACAATCTGCTTGGCCATTTAGCGTTAGGAAATTCGCGAGTGCCATTTCAGGTGAGTAAGATCATTTCAAATAATATTCATCGTTTATTCCACTAATTTTTAGTTTATTAACGTCATTAGCTCTGTGTACTGGATTTCTGTCACATTTCATAAAACTGAAAACGTTAGCATTCATCGGAGTCACAATAAGTGCGATTGGATTAGCAGGGTGCTACTTTTCTCCTAATATTCTTACAATTTCTATACAGTATGGAGCATTATCAGGAAAGTACAGTTATTTCGCTCTTTGGAGTTTACGATACGATACATATAAACTTAATATAAATGTAATACTTCTTTTTGTTTATAGGATTTGGAGTCGGTATGATTAATACTGTCAACACCATTATGGTAAATCGATATTTTAAAAAGTACAGAACTGTAGCAGTGGGTGTCGTATATACAGGAATCTCTACAGGTGAAATGATTTTTCCTATAATAAGCTCTATTCTAATAGATACATATGAGATACATGGGTGCTTCCTTCTGTTATCGGGATTTCTTATGCAAGCATTTGTGGCTATTTCGTTATACCCACACCCTCCACCTCTCGAACAAAGTAAAAATGAAACAACCAACGAGAAAAATGTCAAAATAGTTACAATTTTATTATCTTTTCTGGAATTATTTCGTACCGTAATGTTTCACATCATCTGGATTACAATAGCTATATTTAGTTTAACTTACATTATATATCTAACTACTATAGTGGACTATGCAACTGATTGCGGAATACATAAAAGTACTGCTATTTACATTCCTTCTACTATTTCCATAACTGTATTTTGTGGACGATTATGCTGTGGATGGTTAATAGATTTAGGATGGATGAATAGGAAAACAATGGTAGCATTGGCATTTTTCCTGCAAGCGTCAACATACGTCATAATTCCATTTTGGAAAACGCAAATCGCTTTCTTCGTAACAGCCTGTTGTATTGGATTTACAGTCAGTTGTTTGAGTATAAATGTTTCTCCATTATACACTGATTATTTAGGATTAAAAAATCTTCCATTGGGAATAGGAACAGGAAAAGCATTGAACGGTTTCCTTCATTTTTCTTCACCAAGTANATAAATGTTTATTTAAGATTAATAAAACATAAGCCTTATATATAATTAGGTGAGTAGATTTGTTTAGTAAATGAACATAGAAATAATGGAAACATCTGGGACAATTGTTGTAGGCCTATGCCACGTCATCAACAAAATGGCTTCATACAAAGGTAATTAACAATTATGTTTTATAAACGAAAATAAAATAAGATATTTAAGTAAATTACAATAAAAATATTGTACTCTAATGTAGATAATTTAAATATTTCAATTGTTTCGGACCTTTAAACACAGACACTTCATTTAAGTGTCTGTATTTAAATTATGAGTTCGAATACCTTCAAATTTAAAAAAAAATCATCGAAAAAAAAAACATTTAAGTGTAAAAATATATTTTATAAGCTATAAATATATAGAATACGATATAACGTATGTACATTTTAAAAATATGGGACGTATATAAAAACAAGTTATTACGAGTGTTTAGTACTAAAAGAATTTTAGACAAAATACATTTTTATTGATATTTCGGGCCTAGTTTATATTTAAATAATATAATTAAAATATTAATTGATTTTTTATGATGGCTATTAAAAATTTTTGCTTCATTATACGAAATGTTTTCAAATCTAAGTAAATACACAATAATAAGAATTCTCAGTTACTCTTAGTTATGATTCCTTTGTGTATTGTGTTGGATTTGTACATTTTTTATACGAATATGTCTTATTGCTAAGTTTATTTACATTATTAGTTTGGTTTATTTGTTTACGGATACTCAACACGTGGGCGATCTTGACCCGAAAGATGCTTACAAGATTTCAGCGTTATTGGAAGTTTAATTCGGCTGAGGTTTCTGGGTCTTTTCCTTTCCAAGTTATTCCCAAATGAAATGTCCCGGTTCGCGAATGACAGTTTTTTCGACGTCTTGATATGCAATTGACTTCCCTTGATGGGAATATTTCTATCCGAAGACGGGAAACAGAAACGAAGATGTGCACTAGACACACATACAACAATTGGTTCGACATTTAAAACTTTCGGGAGAAGACATCGCGTTTTTTGAATTCACGGGTTTTTCTTAATTTCTGTTTTTGATCACCAATTTTGATTGGTGCCTTTTTCTCGTTCTCGCTTTCTAAGTGGATGATCACTCGTTATTATGTTTAACGCGATCGCAATTCAGATCGCGGGAAAGGTCAAAATTGATGTTTAATTAATTAATTCTATCCCCAACCGGAGATGGTCGGCACTTTTGGGCAGATAATAATTAAACATTTAATTTTTTTCGGTTAATTTTCTAATTTATTCTGTTTTATATTATTATATTGTATGCTTTGTGCGTGTCGACAAATTGCTGCCACAGACCTGACTTCTTTGTTTTTTTGTGTGTTTTTGTGTATGCGAATATTCTAGGAATCTGTGGATTGGAGTTATGTGCTTTTTTAAGAACATTCAGATGGACGTCAGTGGTTTTTTTCAATCTTTTTAACTTTTTTATCCGTGTTTGAGTTTATCTTTTAATCTACGATTTCACACTCGTTTTTTTCGATATATTCTTCCATTGCTTTATTGTAGCGTTTTCTTTCCATAATAACCATTGTCTGGTTTTATCCCTTTTTGTTAATATTAATTGATTCTTGTTTAACCATTCTTTTGTGCGTATTATAACCAAATGCTTTTTCTCTATCCCTTTTGTGTCTTTTCATTGTGTATCATTTTCCATCTAAAATAGTCTTTCTCTACAACGCTCAATCCTGTCACGCCTCTTTCCATTTCTGCTATTTAGATTTGTCATGTGTTTCCATTGTTTGTTACATAACTAGGTCTATTCTTTAACGTTTCTTTCACATATTTTGGCACCTCACATTGGTTCCATAAAATATATGGTATTATATTTTTTGTGAGTTTGGAGTTTGTTTAATAAAGATCCAATCTATTAAGAAACGATAAAAACAAAATTAAAATGAAAAAGCAAGCCGGGGTGTACAGTATCCCTTTTGAAAACCGACAATTAGGAATTGATAAAGAGTATATAGAGGTAACCAGAAGAAACCTTATAGTACGGATAAACGTTTGGAATAAAAAAAACTCGGCAAATAAAAATCAGGTGTGTTTCTTAGTATATGTAATTATAATACATTTTTTCTTTTCTTAACTGATAAGAAAAACATATGATAATAAAACAAGAGTCGTCGATTCTCTTTCCTTAATCTCGAGAACGGAATTAGGAAAATGAAATCGAAGATAACACCTGTAAAGTATTGTGGCACGAGACCTCAATTAACTACTACACATGATCGTCTGATGCGAACCGAAAGTAACGTAATTTCAATTCAAAACTTTTTTATAAAAAAATGCAAAATGAATCACGCTATTGTCATTCGTCAAATGGCGGTATCGTCAAAGAAAATAATATGATGCACAGTGGAAAAGTAAAAAAATATATGTTAAATTACTACTTTTTGTTTCGTACTCTTTGTTCTAAAAATGTCAGCAGAAATAGCAAAGTTTTCATGTACATTTTTATGAACAGTAGGAGTCACTGTTTAGCTTTTATGCTCCAGTCGATCTGTGCAAAAGTTATTTTATCCTTTAACGAGGGTTCACGTTTGTTTCAAAACACCATTTTACAAGAAACAATTGCATTTTTTATATACGCTAAAACAGTGTTATTCAACCTTCTTGAATACGCAACCCCTTTACAAGTTAAAAAATTCTGGCGACCCCCACGGCCGTATTAAAACTATGACAGTTATTTTAAAAACTACGTATTTAATTTTCTTTCTGTTGAGATTTAAATATCGATCAAAAAACTAATTGTACTGTAAAATAAACAGGCACAGCCTTCTCACTGAAATTGTAGTTTTTTATTGTAGTGTAGGACCTACAAACACTTGGATTTTTCTTTTGCCCGCGACCCCTCGTGTATGGCTTTGCGACCCAGCTGCGGGTCGCGACCCACAGCTTGAAAAACACTGCGCTAAAATATTACTTATATACTTCAATAGTAAAAGCGTTAAACTATTTGTATCAGTTTTAACCGCAGCTATTTTGCTAGGAAACATCTTTACCTATTCTTTTTACCTCGAAATTTGTAAACAACACGTAGATTAACGTTTTAAATTCTTTATATTAAAATCATTTAATAATAATATAGCATCCTATGACGTCATTATAATGAATTTTTCAACAAAAGTTTCTGATTTATTGTTTTACAATTGTTGCGATTGTTGTTGAAATGCTTACGTACGCTCGGAAAGTTTTTTTGCGAAATTCGACTGATAAGATGGAGAGAAAGAGGTAAATTTAATGGATAATTATGTTAATTTATAAGATTTGTTTAATATTAAATGAGAATTTCTTTCTAATAGGAGAAGAGTGGCCAAACCGAAAGTTCGGCAAAACAAAGTTTACCCATTTCAGGTAGACCATTGATTTTTCTGTAAGAAATTCAAAATGATCTTCTATTGGGATTATCGATAATTTTAATTTTGTTCTACCGCAGGATGACAAAGATTTGCCTGCGACGAAATGTGACTCCTGGAACAAAGGGGAGTCGCCGTTGCGAGCAAATAATCCCAAAGAAGGCTAAAGGTCTATCGGATATTTAAGACGTTTATTCCATAAATTCTTGTTATGTTGCTGCATTTCGGTTGACATTTCTGATTAGGAGGTAAGTTTTCATTCTTTCTGTCTTTTCTCGGTCAGGAAATTGCGTAAGTAATAATTTCTGTGATTTTGTAGACTTAAGAACCGGAAAAGAAACTCGCAGATTTTAGCTCCGAAGACGACTGTATTTATATTATAACTCCAATTACTTTATTGACAAGATTATGTCTTGTTTATAAAATCGTGGCTTGCCAGCTTAAAAGTATGAAGGAGTACATATCAGGAATGGCAATTTAACACAGAACATTAAGGTGACCAGATTTTAACACTGGTAAAGCGGAACAAAATTGACAGAAAAAAGAATTGGTTGTCTTCTTGAATAAAAATTGTTCTAGATCAACAAAATTTTATCATGAAAAAACGCAAAAATTGTATTGTAGTGTATTATTTTCTTTTTAAATTTCAACATATGCAAAATTTAAAAATGTAATAAATATAAATACTATTATAAATTATTAAAATTTCTTATTCATTTGCATATTTCTCATTTGAGTGAATTTTTCTTAGTAAATTTAAAATGTTTAAAATGATATAAAATTTTTTCGCAAGAATTTTTTAAATTATATTACACACATAATACTTCTTTCAAAGTCTCAACACTTAATTGTCATTTATCGGATGTCTACACTTTATTTACGGAAAAAAAACGCGTTCAGTCGCGCCATTTGTTCCCGGTAATGACATTGCGTATTCCACAATTTATATTGCATTATTGTATGGAATATAGTTTGTTTCAAAATGATGAAATATTTTTAATCATTTGTTTTCTGTTGAGATTTTTGCTGATGCCGAAGATTTAACCTTTTCCTTATAAATTTATTTTTTTAATAATGATAAAGTAATACCCCGACTTACGCGAACCCAGAGTTACGCGATTTTCAAATCTCGTCGATTCGTCTTTTGTTTGAGCGTTACGCAACCCTTGATTACTCACTCCCCCCACACTATTGTTCGGCTTACATGTTCGGACGTGTCGCGCGGAATCCACACATAGCTACAATTTATTTTGTGTTATTTATTTCTATGTTTGTTATATCTACGGAGACTCGAGAGACTCTACTATGTCATCCAAACGAAGTAGAACTAATTCTTCTGCATCAAACAAGAAAAGAAAAACTTTATCTTTGGAATGTAAAGTTAACATT